TCACTTGCTCAATTTCATAGATATATAGAGTGAATTTTGAATTTTGATAGGGACTGCATTAAATCTGTTGATTACTTTGGATAACATGGACATTTTAATAATACCAGTTCTCCCAGTTCAGTAGCATGGAATAGCTCTCCATTTGTGTCTCTCATTTTTTTCATCATTTTCAATGTACAGACCTCTCATCACCTTAGTTAAACTCAACTCTAATGCATCTTTTTTTATGCCATTATAAATGAGATTCAGTGTTCTGAGCGCAGTGCTTTTCCCACGACATCATATTTCTTTGCTTGAGGCAAAATCTTGCATGCTATTTAGTTTTCTGTAGATGAAGGCATTTTATCTAACACGTTAGAATGTACTAGATAATCAATGCTTATAATTATTTTTACTCAAAATTAAGTTGTCTTCTTTCTCAATGACTGGATATCAACTGCTGTGAATTTCTGCTGTTTATAGCTGATCTCATTTAGTCTGAATAGAGGCTTCTTATCTCCAAGTTGCTGTTTTTTTTTTGTATTTGGCTGAAGTTATAAAAGGGCAGCCATACTGACACAATTCACAAAAGCCAACAATGACATCAGCTAGTCTGATAGCTGTCCAGCAGTACTCAGAAGGCCTAGAGAGGCAATGGAATATCTTGGATCACATAAAATATTTTTTTCATTGGAGCTAAATAAAAAGCATACATGCTTTAGAATGGCAGGAAGTAACAATTAGGTCTAACTGGTCCTCTTTAACATTCTGACAGCCCACCGTTTACATTCAACAAATATCTAATTGTTTTCCTCCCAAATTTCAAGTTGGCAAGCAAGAGGTAACTGAAGAGATTCAGACAGAGTGGTATCTTGAAGTTGACAAAGATTTTCTTTATCAGCTTTGAAATGTATTCTGACTTTGCATAAATAAAGTAACACACAAGATCCCCAACTTAACTGACTATAATTGGGAGGAAGTGTCCCCAGAGTGAGTAATAATAGCTAATACATCCCAAGCACCAACTAAATGTCAGGCATTGCTCTAAGGGATACACTTAATCCTCTCAATAACCCAATGAGTGTCAACAAATACTAGACCCATTTTACAGATGAGACTAAGTCACAGGATTAAGTCATTTGCTAAAAGTCACATAGCCCTTAATTGATAGAATCAACTAATCAATCAATTTAGTTGTGAACCCAGTGTCTCCAATAGGGTTTGCCTATGCTGAGGGGCATAGATCTAAAATATAATTGTTCGGGCCTCTCTGGTGGCACATCGGGCTAAGCGCAGCGCTGTGAAGCTGTCCGCAGCCTCTGCAGCACCGGTTCCATTCCCGGCCGGGTCGGGAGATACCCACATGGCACGGCAAACCTCTCCTACCTTGCCCGCTGCTCCCCTCAGCAGTGTATTTTGGTCAGTCTGCCTGTTCTGTTCCCCGCTCTGTCTCTGGTGAATCTTCTCACCCTCCCACGCATCTGGCCTGTACCCCAACTCTTGTATAAATAAATAAATCTTTAAAATAAAATAAATTTGTTGAGCTGTAGCAAATACACTAAGTAACTCAAGGACAATGAGCTGTTAGATTCTGTCCATTTGCCTAGAATGGCCAGCTTAGCAAATGGTACCACTGCTACCAGGTTGCCCAGGCTGAAAACATGGGAGTTATCATTGATTCCTCTCTTTCTTTCCCACCCCTGTACAAGTAACTATTGATTTTATTTGAAGAAATAAATCTCAGCCCGAGCATTGTTCAACAACTTTCTGACTTCTACCCTTATCTAAGACACTACTATCTCACCTGGATTTTAGCAAAAACCTCCTAAGGAGACTCCTTGCTCCCACTCTTGCTCAATCACAAATTCCTGTACTTTGTTTTAAAGAAAAAGATCATAATCCACGAATCCTCTAAGCTAATCTCCTCCAAATACCCCACACCACTCCAGCTTCACTAATCTTGCATTTTCTTGAACCAGGCAAGTTTGTTCTATCTCAGAGTCTTTCCATTTTCTTCTTCCTTACTTTGCTTAGATGCCTATTTAGGTATCATGTTCTCCTTCCAGAGACTCTTGGTTTGTACCCTATTGAAAATCCTGTCCCCTTATATTCCCCCTCCCTCCCTGCATTTTCATTATCATATTGACCTTGGAAAAATATTAATTTTGGGTGTTTAAATACAGCATCATTTTAAAATATTCAACAGCAATAACATGGAGGGTGGGGGAGAGTATTATTCAAGAAAAGCACAGGTATTTATTTATTAAGGCTAAACCGTGATATATCCCACTAAAAACTCCAAAAGCAACATGACAAATACAAACCAAAATCATTATGACTTTGGAAGAAGTTCTTAAGGAAGATATAATAAAGTACAGACCACAAGGAAATAAATGTAAGTCCATTAAAATGTTAAATGTTAACAAAATATGTAAGTAAAAAGCTAGAGGAACAACATACATGAATTATCACTACAAATTAATAAACTCTTCAACCAAATAGAAACATAGACAATGGATATGAGAAGGCAATCCATAGCAGACATCAATAGACACACAAAAAATCCTTTATCTTATCAATAAGAGGGAAATGACTGTTGACTTCAGACCCAGGTGCCATCTGACCAGGACCCTGGCAGGGACCACCCAGGAGAGCCCAGCCAACCCACAAAACAATGGGACAAAGATTGTTTTCAGGTCACTGCATTTTAGAGTGGTTTGTTTTGCAAAATTTGATAACTGGTACAGGAAGATCAAGTAAAGCTTTTTAAAAATGCTGAGTTGCTAGAGCCTACCCATCATAGAAATGGAGAGCTGCTGGCAAATGTTCTCACAGGTTCAGAGCCCTGGCGACTCACTGTCATACTCTTGGTGTGGTCACCTGCTTTGCTCAGACCAGCACTGGCCCCTCAGAATGCAAAACTCAGTAAACACAGTCCTCAACCTCATGAGCCCACAGTCTGGTAGAGGAGGCAGAGCAATGCTGCGATGCAGGTGGACAAGGCTGAGGGTGAGGGGGCGGTGCAGGAAAGCAGAAAAGAGGCATCTCAATACCATGGTAGGGGAGGTGGCTAGGGGACAGCGAGGTGATTTTTCTGGAAGATTGCTTCCAACATAGATATTTGGTCTCAAGAGTGGGCACTCCCTGAGGAATAAAAATGTGGACAAAGGGAGGAGGCGGAATTATTGATGAGTTCCATCATTTCTGGGAACGTGAAATCACTAGGCAAATTGCATTGCCTTGGCAACAGGCCCATTAGGTAATTTATATATTAATTTCAGAAGGACACAGAAAGGATATGCCTACATTATTTCAAAAGCTATCAGAAGACAGTAAAACAAATTATAGGAAAATATAAGCAACTCCATGTGTTCTTTTGTTCATTTGTCATTTTCCAAGGTCATATTTCATCCTAAACCCCCTCTGTACTAGCTTTTTTTTCTTAAAAACAAACCAAATGGATGATTTTGCTCTCTTGTGTGTGTGTGTGTGTGTGTGTGTGTGTGTATGGGGGGATCCTCATTTTACAGTTGAACAATGCTCATACTTCTTAACTAGTCCGTGAATTAGAATTTTCTTTTTCTGTTTTACAGATATCAATACTGAAACTCAGGAAGGACTATCCCAAGGTCATGAGCTGGTGCAGAGTGGGGTTTGGACTTGAATCCAAATGTCTACTCCTCTTACCAGGTCTGCCCCTTCCTTTGCACAAAACACATGGATGTGAGATCTGAAAACTGAAAAGATGGTGGAAAAGCGAGAGCCAAAGGTGAAGGGAGGCTATCAGGGTCTCCTTTCTTGGCAGTGGGTTAAGAACCAGATTTCATGGAGAGGGATAAACCTTTTTGACTGGAGGAGAGTGTGGTTACTGGGGCAAAGTACAGTCTGGTTTCATGGGAGTGTACTAGGGAGATGTCTCTTGCATTTTTATAATTTATACCAGCAGTTCTCAACCACTCATGGTGGTTTTGTCCCTGGGGGACATTTGGCAAAGTCTGCAGAAAATTTATTTTTACTGCTCAGGAAGGGGACAAATGCTTCTGGCAGCTAGTGGGTATGGTGCTCAACAGCCTCCAATATATGGGGCAGGCCTCCACAGCAAAGAATTATCTGATCTTGATTGTATAAGTCAGGGTGCTCAATGTGTATACACATATGACATGTGTGTATATTACAGCATGTTATATATAATATGTATGTTAAATATCTAGTGGACCATTAAACAACCCAGATTTGAACTTGAGACTCCACTTAAACCTGGATTTTCTTGGAAACAGATGATGCAAACTTATGGTATTAATATAGTTTAATCCTGTAAACGTACTTTCATTGTTTAAACATTTTTCTCTAGCTTACTTTGCTGTAAGAATACAGAATACATATAACATAGAGTGCGTGTGAATCAACAGTTTATCAGTCAGATTTCTGATCCAGAGCACACTAATAGTTCAGTTTTGGGACTTAATAGTCAAGTTTGGGAAGTCAAAGTTAAACTCAGATTTTTGATGACACAGGGGTCAAAAGCCTCTAACCCCCTAGTTGTTCATGTCTCAACTATCTCTATAACATCTAGATTGATGGTAGAATGTATACGGAGGCAGAAAGTGGTAAGGTTTTAAAGGAATTGCCACGTGACTGTGGGACTGGCAAGCCTGACATATGCAGGGCAGTCTGGACACTCTGGCCGGGGTTGACTTGCAATCTGGGGTCTGAAGCAGTCTTCTCTGGTGACTTGGAAGATCTCAGTCTTGTCTAAATTTGCAATTGATTAGATGGGGCCCACCATTTTATGGAGACCTCTATTGACTTAAATGTTAGTCACGTCTTAAAATCCCTTTCTGCCAACGTCTAGACTGGTGTTTGACCAAGGAACCATGCCCTCACCAAGTGACAGATAAAGTTAACATGCATTGAACTTCCAAAACTGTGAGGTAGAGATTTTTAGTCTTGTTTTAAAGTAAAATTATCAGAAGTTAATACTCCCATCATTGCATGGGTCATGCTGACGGCAGTTAACTTACTTGAGCACTTAACTGTGAGCAGGTGCTCCCCTCTGCTGTTGTCAAGGCCACTGTTGTTGTTACTGTAATGAGACCACAGAGGCAGCTTTCAAGCCAGGCAATCTGGCTTCAGAATTAATGTATAGTCCCCACACAGAATCACCTGGAGGGTTCATCAAAACAAATTGGTGGGTCCTACTTCATGACTCTGAATCAGCAGGTCTAGTTGGACCCAAAGAGTTGCGTTTCTATTGACCTCCCAGGTGATAGAAACTGGTAGAATGAATGTTCTAAACCAGGAGTCCAGGTGAGCAGGACTGGCCCCAGCGCACACGTTCCACAACTTCCCCAGTCCCTGCTGCATTCCAGTTACACGGTCTGGCCACTGATTTCCATGTGCAGGCGGATGGTGGGGTCTCACAGCCCCCACCAATTCTGAACACCAGCCGTTCAACATATGATTCAATTCAATTCTGATACTGCCTACCCAGAGATAGTGTCAGACCCTACAGGTTAAGGGCTCAGCCCCCAACCCCATCAGGGGCCAATGACAAGTCCAGGCTGTCACCTGTGCTTCTGACTAGAGGGTTCTAAGTCTTAACTCTTCAGATACCATTAACTTGCTAGAGCAGAATACAGAGAAACCTTTTACTTACTATGCCACCAGCGTGCTATAAAAGGGGACAACTCAGGAAAAGCCAGAAGACTCACACAGGGAAGGTCTGGGTGAGGGCGCGGAGCTCCCCTGCTCACCTGTGCTCCGCTTTCCCAGAACCAGATGCCACATGTCCACCAACATGGAAGCTCTGTCCGGCGGCTGTTTGTTTGGTCTTTATAGCGGACTCACCACGTTGGCATGATTGATTAAGTCTCTAGCCATTGGCGATTGCCTCAGCCCGGAAGTCAGGGGGTGGGACTGAAGGGTCCAACCATCTCTTCAGGGTTGGTTCCCCTGGCAACCAGCCCCACCTGTAGGTGTTCATCAAAGGTTGTGGATGTGGAAAGGGGCTTGTTATAAATAGTCAAACGCCCATTTCAACTTATGATTCTGAAGTGATTTCAACAACTAAGAATAAGAAACCAACTATTCTAACAAAAAGTGCTCTCAGTGCTTAGGGTGCTGTGAGCCTGTGATGGTGCTGTGAAGATCAAACACATAAAAAAAAAAAATCACAACATCACACCAGGTGACAGAGATAAAATGATGACAAAGCAGTCACGGTCCCTCATGACGTCTCCAGTGCTGGAGGATAAGTCTGTACGAGCAGAAAGACGTGGACAGGAACCTCGTTAAAGGAGGGGTGCCCAGCAGGGACCCATTCCTGTGGCATGGAGCCAGGGAAGACACCCCAGAAGAAGTGGGTGGCTAAACTGAGAGCCAGGGGAGAAGCAGAGAAACCAGGATGTAGGGTAAGTGAAAAAGTATCAGGCTTTTCTGCCCTCCCGCCATTAGGATTGATGATGGATCCCTGCCTGACGGCCGGCACCTGGAATAGGGTGTGGGCCTATGTAGATGGGATTCACCTGGGCTAAGACTGGGCTTATAGGGCAGCGTCACGGGGACGCCAGCAAAAGCCGAGAGAAGCAGAGAGAACCACAAGAGAACCACGAGAGAACGTGAGAAAACGCTGGAGAGCCCAGAAAGAATGAAGACTTGCTGGGGGCTGGGAGGCACCCCTGCCTGCTGTGTGCCTGATAAATCCCAATAAAAGCCTGCAAAAGCCACTGAGGGCTCCAGGACTCTCTCATCCTTACTGCATCTGCTCAGATCATAGAGATCCTGCTCCGTGTCCTCCTGCCACTACACAGGGGTTCTGTGGAGGAGGTGAAGTGTGTCTAAACAGGGTGATAGCATGTACCTGTGAGGAAGTGCTTGCACATGTGGGGACCCAAAGACAGTTAGCAGGATAAATTACAATATTTTGCCTCAATCTTCTTGGCACATCATCTCACGATCTGCACAATAAATCTGTACCTAATTTTCCTTGTCTATATATTCACATATTCAGTAAAGTAAAACATTTCTGGCTTCAAAATGAACATTTGCTCCTCCCACCCTGATTTTAACATTCATGTATATTTCCTGCTGCTTTTTTCCTGTCCTTGAAAGCTGTCGGGCCCTTGGTTTCAGAATTAAAGAAAGGGAGCATTGTTTCTTTCTTTACCTCTATTCGAGTTCACAGAACATGGGACTATCAAAAAAGATTAAGACTCACAGTGGGTCTCCAACCAGACTGTACCCTAACATCAGTGGGAGTGCTCTTCAACCTTACTAATGCCTTAGCCCCACTCCCAGAGATCCTGATGTTACTGGTCCTACTGAGTAGGACCTAGTTGGGAGGTGTATGAAACCCAGGTGACTCTAATGTACAGCCAAGGTTGAAAAACGACACACCTGACCTAGCAAACTACTCTCAGCAAGTCAGATCTGACCCTTAGGGCTTGCTCTATTTAGCAAAAGTTTTACTGGCATGCAGCCACATCCATAGATGTGTATTTTATATCACAGTGGCACAGTGGAGCACTTGCAGTAAAGGCAGTTTGACCCATAGAGAAAAATTTTGCCAACCCCTGTCTTGTACCATGGCTAATCACAGTGAGGTTCATGAATCAGCCTCATCAGTGTGGCTGGGAGCCTGTTAGAAATGTCAGGACCCAGCCCCCGTGCATTTGTTTGCAGTGGGACAGGATCCCCAGGTGAGCCGCATGTAGGGCAAAATGTGAGAATCCCTGCCTATGTCCAGCCTCTCTGCCACTTTTTGCCCCCTTTCCTCACGCCTACACAGACCCCTCCATAGCCATGCTAACTCAGGAGGGCTCTCCTGGCCTCATCAATTAGATCTCCTTTATGATTTTTCTTTCAGGGCACATTATTTTTCTTCATCACACACTGGAGAGTTTATCCATTAATCTCTGTCCCTCCACTACAGTGGAAGCCTCAGGAGGGTGGAGGCTGAGTCTCAGGGCATGAGGGAGAGTTCTGAAGAGCAGAGCGTACACAGGGGGCTGCTACCCAGAGGGGGCAGTGGAAAGAGGAAGAGCAACGTGGAAGTGCCTCGGTGGGAAGGAACAAAACCAATTATTATGTAGCCTAGGGAAGGTGTCCACTAGGAGGTCCTGGATGATGAGCAGCTAGGTTAGATTTAATTTCCTCTTTTTGTAATTCCAGGATTAAATATTAGTATTCAATCACACAGGAACGTTGAAGCGCTTTGGTGATCCTCCGCAGAGCAAGGATCCAATTTTACCAGCTGCTCATTAAATGAAATATCCATATATATCGGGAATTTAATTAGAAAGGCAGAGGGCCAAGGATGTGATCATTGCTTAAGAAAGTTACATTTCAGGCAGCTTTTCCCTTCCAAGAGAAGTAAGGGAACTAATTGTATTCTATTCCCTTTTTTTCCCTGTTAATCGCAGCTTGCTTCCACTGATTTTTTCCAAATGCCCTTAGGGGGTAGAACATTTCTGAATGGCTGATTTCTTGTATGAAAATGAAGCACACCAGCTGCTCTGGTCTAAAGGTAGTGCCTTTCAAACCAGAACCCAAGTCAGATGGCTTCGGCTGGGTCCTCTGGGTCCTCGGCACTAACTCTCGCCAAAAGTGAGATAAGATGATGACTGAAGAAAACAGCTCAGAGAACACAGGAAGAAATTCAGACTCAAGATGCCCCAGCTGAGTTTTAGAGGTGACTGGAATAATGCTGACTGCCATGTGTGCCTGGGGGTCCCCCTTCCTCCCAAATGAAAGAGCACAGTGGAAGGGGCATTACTGTACCAGGAAAGTAGCCTGCGGGCAGAGTGTGGGCCGTGAGCTGAGAGGCCTTGGGTCCGATCCTTTAACTTGAACTCTGAGACTGATGGTCCTTCTCTGTCAAATAGCATGCCTTTTGTTTACTTATCCATTCATTTATGGATGCGAGGCACTGTGTTAGATGTCAGGTAGGCAATGAAAAGTTAAATCAGGAGGTCTTTGTCCTTGTGTATCTTACAGTCCATTGAGGGAGCAAGGTATTTTTGAAAAATTCACATCAAATAAGGGTAAAGTTGCACCTGTGTGACATGCTGTGAAGAGGACATTTCTCTAAGTCACACCTCCTCCCACCATCGCTTCTTGTCAGGGTGACTACAATCGGAGATGTCCCTCTTTGACTCTTACCCTTGTTAATAGATGCTTCATGCTATAGTCAGAGTGATCTTTGAATACCATAAATTAGATGGAAATCACCCTGTTCAAAATCTCCCATGCCTTCCATCAGGCTTACATTTCAAAACTTGGACGTGTGGCCTATAGGCTCTACGTGCTATGGGTCAATTCCCCCGATCCCTGATCTCCTCCTTATTATGCTCTCTCTCATTCCCTCCTTTCCAGTCATACCAGCCTCCTTGGTTTTCTCCAAATATGCAAAGTGGTTTCTGCTTGGAAATGTCTTTTCTTCTCATGTGGTTTCATGTCTCACATGTTTACATCACCCCTTCAAAGACGCCTTCCTGACCATCCCCTCCAAAGTGACTCCCCCTTATAGTCAGTCACTGACCCCTTAAATAACTCCTTTTCCTTCTAACCTTTATCACCACCAAGAAGTTAATTGTTGATTTCTCTATTGTTCATAGTTTCCCTGGATGTGGGACTTCACCAATCTTGGTTTGCAGCCCCTAAAATAGGGCTTGTGCATTAAAAGGTGCTCTGTAGGTGCTTGTTGAATTATTAAATACCAGAGTGGCATATAATAAGGAAAACTGATTAACTCAGAAAGGTCAGGAAAGCCTTCCTTAAGGGACTGCTATTTGAGTCGGGTTCTGGAGGAATGGTGAGCATTGACCAGGCCAACAGGAATGTAGTTTTTAGGAGGGAGGATAGCTTGTGTAAAGGTCCTGTGGTAGGAAGGAGAACTACGTGGTCAAGGAACCAAAGAAAGTTCAGTATGAACCCAACATAGAGAGTGGGGGGAGGGACATGGCACTCAGTGAAGCTGGGAAAGAAGTGGCTGGGAAAGGCAGGGCTCTGCTAGGCCTCTTAATGGTTTCTGTTTTCATCCCAAGAGCCATGGGAAGTCATTAGAGGATTTTCATTATGGAGAAGGGTAGGGGAAGAACCAATCACTTTTGTTTATGAATAATATTTGAAAAGTATTAATAACACTTTTAATTAGATATTAATAATAACATTAATGCCAAAGTATTAGCAATACTTTAAGACCCATTTTTTTGCTCAGAAATTCTAGGATTCTATGAAAATTCAAACAGCAAAATGAGAAGGATTTTTGAATAGTCACTGAAATCAGTTTCGCAGGCAGATTCAAGCTACTAAATTCTGTAGCGACTCAAACATCATCTCTTTGGGACTTGATCTTTGTGTTGTGTCCTGAACACTCCCTCTCTGCCTTCATCTAAAAATATGTTGAGTCAAAGTTTCCTGTCACCCTGAAAAATATAAATTCTTAACTATGATTCTGACTATGCAGGGATTCATCAATAGATTGAACATCAGCCTTAGAAACATCCAGCTTTTGGGCCTCCCTGGTAGTGCAAGGGGTTGAGCACAGCACTGTGAAGCTATCTGCTGCCTCTGCAGCATGAGTTTGATCCCCAGCCAGGCAGGGAGATACCCACATGGCACAGCAGACCTCTCCTGTTTCACCCGCTGCTCCCCTCAGCAGTGTTTTCACTCAATCTGCCTATTCTGCTACCCACTCTGTCTCTGGTGAATCCTCTCACTCTCCTGCGCCTCTGGCCTGTATCCCAGTTCTTGTATGCATAGATAAATAAAATCTTTAAAAAAAAAAAAAAGGAAAGAAACATCTAGCTTTTGAAGTACACATTCTCCAGCTTACCCAGCAGAATAGGCAGGTCAGACTTGGGTTTTCACCACATCATGCATTCAAATCTCTCTACCAGCCAGCTGTGATCTGGAGCAGTTGAGACAAGCTAGAACCTCAGACATTCATCTGTGGAAGGGAGATAATGACAGTACTGTCTTCAGTGGATTGTTGTGAGAATTAAATGTGATAACATATTATAATTCAGTATTTCTCTACACTTCATCATCATCATCACCACAAGTCCAATTTCCACCTCCATGGAATTGCTCTCCTTACCCCTACCACCCCCACCCAAGCTCCTTCCCTCTGGTAACCACCAATCTGTACCTAAGAGTTTATTCTTGTTTTGTTTGTTCATTTGCTTTGTTTCTTTTTCTGCCACATGTGAGGGAAATCATACAGTATTTGTCCTTCTCTGGTATTCTACCAAGGTCCATCCATTGTCATTGCAAATGGCAAGAGTTCATCTTTCTTTTTTTAATAGCCTAGTATTATTCCACCATGTCTACACATACACCATCTCTTCTCTATTCATTTACCCATTGGCATTGCCTGAAACTTTGGTTAGAACTCAGTGTCATGCCAACAAAATTTTTTTGAAAGAATTAAAAAGTAAAGAGAAAGAAATCTGAAGACACAGAATGTGATGACATATATATGTATAGTGCTGAGTAAGCCCTGAGTCAATCGATAAAGCCAACACCCTGGATTGGAATATTCAAAGATCAACCCTTCAAAGAAGTCTGGGGCCAACCACTTCCTTCTAGCTGGGGTCAGTCACCTCTTGCTTGCTGGCTGGAACTCGGGGCATAGCTTCAGCTCTGGGTGCACGCAGGCGGCCCCCAGTCTCCTTTCTCAGGGGGCAGTTTCGCAGGAGTGCATGAATGGAACCACAGCCTCTCCCAACTCAATAAGACTTACAGCTACTGACTGAGATGAATGAGGTGACACTGGAACATCCCTGCTTAATTGCAACTTTCTCTGTGAAGAATTGAAAGAACCAATGGAACATAGAAATGAAATGCATAAGTGGATACATGAAAACCCTCTAGCCATCTAAAGTATTTTGTGTCTAAAGATACATATTTATGGACCTCTGAGATAGCTTTCCCATAAAGACAACACCTTTGAATATCAATAACCATTTATAGATTGACTGTAAATCACAAATAACTGTGTGTGTTCAAATTGTTGGCATCAATAGAAACAAAGGAGGTTTACAAAATGTGTGTATTGGGGTGGGATGGGGTACCTCTGGCCTAGGGAATTTGAAATCTGGATTGCTATAGGCTGAGGTAAGTCGCCAAGACAGTAACTTACCAAATAAGAACCAACAGTCTTTAAAATGCACAGACAGCTCTCTGAGGTGCAATTATGCTGATTTCTTCTCCAATTATGCATTTAACTTGCTTCCCACTAAAAAGTTCTTTGCTTTAGTCACTGACCAGTACAAGTCCGATAATGTGTTTAGTGCTTGCCTCCCCCAATTAAACACCTACAAATGTGCATTGGGGTTTGTGAGCATTTTGTGACAGATCCCCTGAGAAGTGACAATTAGGTACTTAATGGCGCAGTTTCAGGATGATGACAGTAATCATGGAGAAGGGGGGAACTGAGAAGGAAATGCAGTTGGGAATAATTTATTAAGGCAAAATTCTTGGAAAAAGCTCCTCACTTTAGAAACTGGATTCATGGCATTTGTCCAGGGACTGCAGATGTTGAAGTCTGAGGAGAAGGAGGCTTGTTAGTAAGAATGGTGCGAGGGAATTAGATGCCATTATACGCTCTTCTATTCCTTACATTTCCAAAACTCACTCCATGCACGATTTGAAAGGAGATCAAGAGAGCAGGAAGCTTTCAGTGCAATGACACTCTCCTCTGGCTTCCACCCAAAGCCTCTGCATATCTGAGGGCCCTTTTAGTTTATACCTAATGATAAAAGTGACCTTTATTGTCTTGACACATCACAGTCTCAAGTCAAGCAGAGCACTTCTCTTGCTGAGTCCCAAGGAATTATCCCCTATCCAGCACCAGCTACCAAAGAGCTATAATTCCGTGAAGTTCTTTCCAATATCTTGGGCCTGGATATTGTTTCTACTTTAGATGAAGGACTTTAGAGGACTAGATACAGCTCAGAGAGCTCATACGTCTTGCTCTTCCTGGTCATCAGCTAGTCAGGATGCAGATTTCAGCTCATGTATTCAAACAACAGATATTTACTGAGCATCTGCTAAGTGGCTATAGAGCATCTTCAGTGGCTAGCACTGAAGACAGTCCACTGTACACAAAAGACAAAGTAAGCACCATTTAGTGGGAGACAAGAGTGACCAGAGAAGCCCAAGGTACTATGGGAACCCAGTCTGGGTATCAAAAAGGGCCCAGTAATGCTTTTTCAAGAAGCAGACATATTATCTGAGCCCTAAAGAAAAAGAAGGTGTGCATATATTTAGAGTCTAGAGAATACTGTTCTGGCAGAGAAAATTCCAAATGTAAATAGCAGGAGGTAGGAGAGAATAAGGCCTTCTTAAAGAAATGGGAGATTCTGGCAAAGAAATGGGGAGATATGAGGCAGGAGAAGCAGACAAAGGATGCATGGTGGGGGAACTTTCAACCACAGTAAGGATTTTGGCACTGGAGCATTTTAAGTAGAGGAAGTATGAGTAGATGGTTTTAGGATGCTCACTCAGGCTGCAGTTTGGAGAATGTTAGAAAAGGAGCAGGGCCAGAGCAGGGAGGCACCTGGGGAGGCAGTTGCTGTCTGGATGAAAGAGAGGATGGGGCTTGGGGCTAGGACCAGAGATGACAGGAAGAAGGGGAGAATTCTGAAGCGATCATTAGGAAATTAAATGGTTAGAACTTGGAGATGGATTAGGTGGGTTATTAATGAAGGCTGGGAGGACAGGGCTACTCTAGAATTTTCTGGTGTGCCATTCATAAGAAGAGGGGCAGGATTGTGGGGAAGGTAATGTAGGGGACGGGGACTTTGCTGGGTTTGTGGTGGAAGATGTCCAAGAGCCGGTGGGCAGTCAAATATCTGGGTCTGGAGTTCTGATGAGAGGTCTGGCTTGAGGGGCTGGGTTAGGAGGCAAGTGGTTAACGTGCTGGCTAATTCTATTGTCACCTGACTGAGCTGGGGGATGGTAAGACATTATTTCTGGATGAGTCTGTGAGGCTCTGAGAGTTGGTATCTGAATCTATGGATATGAAAGACGATCACCCTCACCACTGGACAGCACCCCAGCTGCTGAGGGCCTGAACATGACAAAAAAGCAGCAGAAAGGCCGTCGGCCTTTTTCGCTTGAGCTGGGAGAGTGCTCCTGCCTTTGGATGTTGGTGCCCTTTGCCCTCAGGCTTTCAGACTTGAAATATACCAATTCCTGGTGCTCTGCTTAGAGAAATTATTGCCTCCATAATCACATAGGCCAATTTTATAATACAATTTCACTCACTCACACACACACACACACACACACACACACACACACACACACACACACCTATGGCTCAGTTTCCCTGGAGGATCCTGACTAAGACAGTAAGTGGTGACCCAACACAAATACAGAGAAGCCAGTTCTAGGTTTACAGAGCTTGTGTTTGGGCGACTTCTCACGGCCAGCACGCCTTGCTTCTTCTCTAACAATGGGGTCACCCTGAGACCTCACTGCTCACACTCTCTCCCTGTACCATTAACAGCTTTCAAAGAGCTGGTGGGAATTCAGGATCAAGCCACAACCAACAAACTAACCAACCCAGACACCAGTGAAACAGTTTTGATGAGGAACAAAATCCTATTCTCTGGCATGGAAAGCAAGAATTCCATTTTTGATATAATTTTTGACTAGAATGGAACCTATAATAGACTACAGGTACAAGCATTTACTAAAATAAAATATATAGCTAACGCACTTATAGTAGTTTGGGTTTCCCCCAAAGCAGACCCTGCACAAGAATTTATGCAATTAGTTTATTTAGGAGACACTCCCTGGAAGCAGTGGTAGAAGAGTGGGGAGTGACTCCTGGAAGGGAAGGAAGTCACCATAGAATACTTATTGAGCAGAGAGGAACACTCTCAGCAGCTGGAGCTCACCCCTTGGTCCCTGGGGGAGGTTGCATAGCTCACACACACCCCACCCCAGCTGCCTGCTCCAAGGTGTGAGGAAGGCGGGTATTTATTCACCAAACTTCATGTATTATGGGATGAGGGGTTGCTCCCTGGGGTCAACTCCCAGGTCTTTTTGGCTGTACCCTGCATGAGTCAGGCAAGCTCTCAAGGCTAGGGAAAGCCACCTTCACAGGTGCCTAAAGAAAGTCTCTAGAATCCACTGACATTGGTGGATGCAGTGGGAATGTGAAGAGGGCTTTGCCATCATTTGCTAATCAATAGAAAAGAGGACAGAAAAACTAGAGAAATCTGCTACCACATATACTCATCTTCATAGTATGAGAGATTCTAACTGTCGCAGAGATACGTGGAAGTAAGTGAGAATCTAGCTTTTTAAACTATACAGGGTGACTGACAGTGAGGTAGGGAGACCAAAATATGGCACAGGAACCACTTGACAAACTGTGGGATTTTTTTCCACCAAATAATAATAACTAAATGTGACGATGACTGGCTCAAGATCTTCAAAGCTCTATTGCATTTGGACTCATGTCATGGAGCCTTCAAGTCAGAATTTCTTTCCAAATATTAATCAAGTTGTTTTTAAAGGACTCAGTAAATGATTAGCTTATGGCTTTTCAAGCCAATTGAAATGCCTTTGCCAAGTAACTATGGCAAAATCTTTCCTTTTGCAAGTCGATGATACAGTACTTAGAGCATTACAAAAAACCTTTCAGGGCCAAGTCGCCACCCAATCCTTAATTGTAAAGGCACAAAGATCATGTCTCTAATAAAGTAAATGTATATTTATCTTCATCTTCATGACTTGAGGGGAATGTTAAGACTTATCTTCACGAGGCTACATTAGTGTGGATGCTCTATTTTTTCTTCCTTTGAGCATTTGGGGGAGAACTGAGCTTTCAATTCACGGCAAAATTAAATAAACACATTTCCTTAGACTTGTTTTTGGACTCAAAAGAAGTGTCAGCATTTAGGGTCATCCCAATCAAGCAAGACAGCTCAGCAAAATGAAGTTTATAGTCAGTAGTGACAGTGCAATTGTCTTGCTTTAGCAAAACTGAAGTTCAGAAGCAGAGACACAAGCAGAGGTAATGCTGCCTCTTTTATCTTGCTTGAGATTTTGCACGTTAGTAGATTTTCTCAGTACATGAGAAGATACTTCAGCTAGACTCTAAGTTTTAAATCATTCATTTATCAGGTATTTATTGAATTACCTCCTAATGGTTGGGTACTGTGGGAAGGGTTAAGGTATAGAAAATACACAAGAGACCTCTTCTTTTGCACATGTTGTGTTAGCCAGACAGCACCTATTTTTATTCATGGTACTCCATAAAATTCCCCTGCCAGGGCCTTGGGGTTATCCCCAGAAAAGAAAAGTTTGGAATCTGGTGAAGAAGTAAGACCGAGTTTCTATTATTCATTTAAAAAGTTGGCCCTTAGTCAATCACGGTCTTGTAAAGAATTTTCTGTGCTATTTAAACTCTGCATTCCCTTGAAGAACTTAAGATTATTTTGGGGGGTCTTTATTTCAAAATTCTGAAAATATCACCATAATACCTTTCTATTGAGAATTAAAGGGTATTTCTGTTGCCCTAAAACCATTATCCAAAGAAATGAAAACAGGGCCTCCCCGGTGGCGCAGCGGTTGGGCGCTGGGTTGCGAGGCTGCCCGCGGCCTCTGCGACACAGGTTCGATCCCCGGCTGCTCCCCGGCCACCGGAGGAGGGTCCCACATGGCGCGCAGACCTCTCCTGCCGCCCGCTGCTCCCCTCAGCGGTGTGCTTCGGTCCTTCTGCCTGCTCTGCTCCCCGCTCTGGCTCTGGTGAATTCTCTCACCCTCCCGTGCTTCTGACTGTACCCAGTACATGTATAAACAAACAAACAAATAAATAAATGGATAAATAAAAACATGCCTCTATTTAAAAAAAAAAAAAAACAAAGAAATGAAAACATAGTGTACTTCTCAAAGCCACCTCTATGCAGGAACAGTGTTTTATTGGTGGAAAGTTGCCTCACACTGCAAATCATTAGATATGAAGAGCCATGTGTGAAATAGGAATAGCCTCAAGCCCCGAACATCTCTTCCAAGACAGATCTTTCCTGAAATGGAATACTCTGAGGGGAGACAGGGGAGTGTACAGTGTTGATGAGTTATGCATTTTCTGTTAATCGTGTTACATTCATGGAAAGGTTTTTCAGTGAGGTCAAAACACTGAATAAAATTGGGTTCCAGGTTAGCTGAATTTTGGAAATCACTTCTGTTTGTCTTGGCCCTTCAGTTCCACCAGCATCCTCACTGCCTACCCCATTTATTAACTACTGATGCCTGGTATATCATGAGGCTCTTCCTGTTTTTTCTCACATATCCCTGTGAGGGAGGGAAGAAGGTATCTCTGCTCATAGGACAGGTGGGAAAAGACTTGGGGAAGTTTAGGGAATGACCTGCATGATCTGTAACATGAAACTAAGTCTGTTTCAGAGCAAAACTTTCAACTTTCAACCAGGGTCAGGAATTGAGATAATCAATTTTGACCAACATTTGATCACTCTGGAAAAGTCTTAGATGGAAGATATGTAAAAAAGTGGAAGTACAGAAAACTTAATCTTCATACTACTTTCTTGGGATTGTAGGAGTGAGCTATCTTTGTTGGCAACCACATCCTCATAGGTTTGGCTCACTTTACTTGCAGATGTATCCCTTGCAATAGCTTATTTTTGAGAAATTCCAGGGATAGGGATATTTACTGATAGGGAAATTTTTTGTCATTTTTAAGCCACTATATTTGTGGGACTGTGTAGTATAGTCTATATATAGATAACTTAATAATTCAGTCATATTTATTCACAATTCTTGTAACCTTTATGTAGTGACTTAGTCACTTTGGCATTATCTATGCAAACAAACAAATCTTTTCTCTATAAAAATTCCAACTATTCAAAGTCTTCTGAATTTTGGGCTACCAGGAAGGAATCAGAAGAGTAGAAATAGAGAATATTACAAATAACAATCGTCTTTTTTTGGAGATGCTTCACAAAATGATTTAGCAAAATTGAAAGATTTTTGTTACTTAAAAAAAAAGTTAAAGATGATTGCCCAGTGAATGCTAAACACGTTTTCTTCTGCACATCATAAAATATGATTTCATAAGGCACGATGTCCAAAATACATGTATTTTTGGGTGGGAGACAAGCTTTCTTTTCAGGTTCTCCTCTGCATTTCTAATATTTTGGAATAAAACAAGGGAGGAGGGAGGAAATGGATGACTTCTTTCATAAGGAAATCTATGTAAAGGCCATGTAATTTAAAACACTTTAGACTGCTCAGGATCCATATGTAGGTGAGTCCGCCTCTGAGGACATGAAAACCTGAGTTTAACACTGGAACTTCTAAGTGCCATGCTTGAAAATTTTATATTAAAAACACCACTTGTCAAATAGATGCCTCTTTTTAAAACAAAATCAATGTAACCGCTAATTCTGTAATTATAGAAATTCTTACCAGAAGACTTCTAAAGTCCTTCCTATGTCAAGTCTTCTCAGAAGTAAGTGTCCCTCGAACAGGTGGCAGTTCCTAAGGAATATCACCACCCCTCCCCTCTTTACATATTTCCCCCCACTGGCAAAGATCACCTTTAAACATTTCCACAGAGTAGATTTCCAAAATGCGAAAGGAGAAGTCTTTATCACAAAGGACAGAGAAGTAAAGAAACCACTTGCTGGTCCCACTCTTTTCCTCTTGCCCCCTCAGAATTATTTATACAGTTGACGCTGAGCCAGGCATTCATAAAAGGGTGCCTATACCCCCCTGCTTTCTCCCTTTCCCTCAGACAATACAGCTTAAACCACCCCAAATAAATCTGTGGGAGATGCAGAACCAAAAGGACAGTTTGGGTTGGTACAGACTTGGGAGCGACTTTCCTGACCTCGGTCAGCCTCATTCATTCCTTCCTGGTGCAATCCCGAGCGCCTGCCACTCGCCAGGCCCTGTGCTGGCTCCGGGACAGGGTGCAGGGTGGGGGAAATGGAGTCCCGAGGCTTCTAGCAGAGGAATGCAGAAAGGGGGGACTAAAAGACAGACAGGGTGAGGGCTGCTGCCTCTGCCTAGAGGAAGTGAAAAACAGGAGGCAGCGTTGGGCTTCTGAAATTACTTCTTTCCTCACCAAGGTCCTCTCACAACCCTTCAGTCCAGCACTTCCCTCCCAGGTAACTATTGGCCACTTGCAAACCTACTTCAGGCTCCCGCCGTCCCAGCAGACAGCAGCCCCAGGACTTACCTCAGGGAAACTTCCACGCCTTCCCCAAACCTGCACTTTCCAAGCCCTGTGCACAGAGCGCACCGGAGGGAGTGTAGCGCAGACCGCAGACCGGAGGAGGGAGGGTCGACTTTGGAAACAGCGAAGGGACCAGAAGTGGTGGCGCGCAGACTGCCTCTGGCCTCCCGGTGTCCCGCCAGCGCGTGGCAGCTCCCACATCCCTCCTTGTTGCTATATAAATGTTTCTCCCCGCCCCAGCCCGACCCTTCTCCACCCCGGTGGCCCCGGGCCCAGCGCTCGTCCCCCGGGAAGGGGGCGCAACCATAGGGAGGTGGGGATCCTGCGGGCTGCAACTGCTCCACTGGCTTCTCTCCTAAGTGGAACCTCTGCCCTGGGCAGAAGCACGGGCCATGGTGTTACAGGGCAACCCCGATATGAAACGGGTTGCACGGCTGTGGGTCCTCACCCGCGCGCTTAAAAGGGACTTATTGGGGGCTTAGGGTGCTCGCCTTCTCTGTACCCAGCAGATCCACACAGCGCGCAACTCTGGGCACAAAAGCCTTCATTTGACAGCTTTGTTCTGGGGTCCTTTTGCGAAGGTAGGGGCTCAAAGGGAGCCAGAGAGTTTTCATTTCAGATGGTGGGAATTTCTCTTGCCTGGGAACCAACACTAGCAGCTGTGTGCACCCTAAGATCCAAGTGGCGCTCACCTTCCCACTTCCACCTCCAGTTCAGGTCCAGAACTGGGCCAAACTTTGACCAACACCCCCAAAATTAGGCTGCCTTTCATCCAGACTAGGGTTAAAAAAATGAGAGGAAAATGGTCTTTGGATCTTGTAAATACAGGTGGTTGGTTGCCTAAAGAGACCCTAATTATTTCCAGTAAGCAACCCTTGATTTTTGGACTAGCGACCCTTGATTTTTGGGCAAGTAGCCAGTTTCTTTGCTATATTTCTGGGGTCTTTATAGGAACATCTGTAACTTGAGTGGAAATGTGGGTGCCAGAAGTGCTTGATGGATTTTTGACACTTGAGAGAACCTCATTAAATCATCACCTTTTCAGAAGGGCAATTCTTAGCCCAAGTCACACACAGGAGCTGGTCTACCGTGACAGTCTGGGATGGGGGAGCTTTGTTCAACCATAGTTCTGCTTTACAGACTTCTTAAAAGTCTCTAAAACTTAGCCCATTTAGACCTTCAGAGTTCAGACCCTAAAGCTATTGAAGTTGCCTACTCTTCGACCTTTGAAAGTCCAATCTATTCCAGCCCACTCAATTCCAGGCAATTCGTCCTTCATTCTTCGGACAGAGGGATCTTTCTAAATCACAATCTGATCAATCACTCTGCTAACTTAATGCCCTCAAAGGACTCCCCACAGCATGCAGAGCAGACCCCAAACTCAGAGTCCTTATCTCTCTCCTTAGTCTTCCTTATTGTCTCATTTCCTGACATCCTGCCATAATTCAGAATTGTTTTCTGGTGCCTGTGGTGAAAAAACACTAATCTACATAAATGTTCACCCACAACAGTAATGAAATTAGTCTCTGATAAAGAGATGAGATACAATTCCACTTATTAAACTACAGAGATTTAAAGAAATGAATGTTATTACCCAGTTTTGTTAAGATTTGGAGGGCATGGCTCTGCTCATAATTGCTGGTAAGAGTGTAAATTGGTACAATTTCCATACCTACCCTCCCCAACATGATAAGTCATAAAATAGTTTGGGTGGAATAACATCTTTACATTTCCTGCCTTTTAAGATAATATGGACTATATTTGTTTGCTTTCTTTCATATTGATGGGTAGAATGTTACAGTTATTCTACTTTTTTTATTATGTTTATGCTTAAGTATCCTACATTACTATAATTGTAAATAATTTGCTCTCATGGTTACTATATAAGAAGTCACAGATTTCTGTACATCTGTCTAACCAATCATTCATCTAAACACCCAATAGCAGTAGTATGTTAATACATTTTTCTTAGGGCTTCTAGGTAGGTAATCATGTTATTTGAGAATAATAATTTCACCTCTTCGGTTCCTATTTTGTTTCACTCATTTGTTAGTATCTCCTGGGTAGTGTTCGATAATGGTGGCATGGACAGGCATTACTCTTCATTTTTGACTTGAGGAGGAAGGTACCCAGCTCCCTGACTTTGTTATAGGGCAGCCCCGAATATCTTCTCATACACTGTCTTTTTCTCTCCAACTTGCCTTTCCACCTTCCCCTACTAACTCCTACTTATTCTTCAGGTCTTAATCCCATCCCTTCTTCCATGGTCACCCACCTCAATAGTCTGGACTACAGCAGGTATCTCAGTGGCTCATGTGTCTTCACTGTATTATCACAGCTGTATTTTCAGGTTTCCCCCCCGTGGTTATATGACTAATGACTGTCTCCCTCATGCATCTATAAAATTCCCATCTGAAAACTTGTCTGATTTTGTGCACAGTGTGAAGGACTGACCTAGCTGCTGCCTGATAGGTACTTTTTGAATGAAGTCATCTCATCCTTAAGCATGATGCTGCTCATTTTTCTATTGCACTCCATCTGCTTCCCTATGGGCACTTATTATTCAGTATTAGGGACTTTTTGTATTCTTCATTTATTAACTGTCCAGAATTGGAGCGATTCCCTCCCAGGCTCACACCAGGGGAAGTCAGCTGCAATTCAAGTCAGACTGGAGGCTCAGAAGCTTCCCCTTCAAGATCTGCCATCTACGGTGACTTGGGAAGCGCTGGTCCATGAGGCAGGTACTGCTCACATTTCAAGTTCCCCCCACTTCCAGTCTTTGTCCCTCGGAAACTGGTTTTACCAGAATTTTCCTCCTTTTGTTTCTGAATCATTTCCTTGAGGAAGGGAAACCAGTGTTGGTTCCTTACTCTTCAAAATTCAATGTATCTTGAAAAAAGTCCTCAAAGTTTGGGGGTACAGTACAGGCCACTCTAAAGTTCCTGCCAAGTGTCTCTCCCCTTTCCTTTTGCTTCCTTGTGCTCACCTCAGTATATCCGAACAATGTTCAGTTTTGCTCTTTTACTTTTGAAAGGCATCCCAGATCATTCTGAGGATCAGTGGAAATATAAATAACACATAACCAGCCATATTAGTGGAAATAACACAAGTGTGAATGCCAAGCCTGTGTCACCACTCTATAACTCACTGTTGAATCATTCAAACTTGCTAGGCTTTAGTTTTCTCATCTTTGAAATGGAGATTATAATAGTACCTATGCATAAGGATGCTGTAAAGATGGTATGAGTTTGTAAAGTGATTAGGACAGTGCCTGGCTAGCATTGATGGAAAGCTCTTGTGTCAAATGGATACTTGCGCTAAATACTTCATATTAAACACTAAATACTTCAACTAAATAGCCAGAATTATAAAAAAAGATCTTTGTACAGGAGGCCAGTGTTGGAGGAAGGGACATTATTAGTATCACATTTTGGTGAAAGTATTTTAGGGGATTATTATTTTGGAATCCAATTGGGAGCATCCCTGACACTGGATACATGCCTTGACTTAGATACTGTCTCTCCAGGGAAGCTCACTGCCTCCCAAAACATAATTGGAAAGTAGAGATTTGACATGAATAAATCAATGCCGAATGAGATCACTGTTCAAATGGTCTCCTAATCTGTTATTTTTTAATCTCTATACAAATTTTCTTAACTTTTGTAGAACTAAATGTAATACACTTTTTTTTCCTTTGTGATTTATTCATTACTTTTAGTATGGAGAAGACAGGCAAAAAATAATGAGTCGACAATTAACAGAAGCACAATGATCAATATATATGAGAGAATGTTTAACTTCATAGGAATCAGAAGTTTGTAAATTAAAATTATGGAATATTTCTGTGTTGAGAAAAGTTAGAAAGAGGAAAAGATAGGGAAAAGGCAATAATGACTACCTGTCAGGGTGTAATATGAGAGCTCATATATCGTGGATGAGCATATAAATTATTACTTTGATTTGTCATTGTGTATCAAGAACTTAAAACTTAATGTGACAATTTTAGCCTGCAGTATTCAGATATTTGGTCAAACATTTTTCTACAAGATGTTTGTAGATATTTATAGATGTTTGAAGATGCTTTTTAGATCAGATTAATATTTAAATCAGTAGACTTTGGGTAAACAGATTATATTCTATAGCTTATGGGTAGGCCTACTCCAGTTAGTTGAAGGTCTTCCTTTGAGGAAGAAGAAATTCTGCCAGGAGACTGCCTTCAAGCTCACAATGAAGCATCAACTCTTCCTTGGAAGTACAGGGCATTGACCTACCTTGCAGATTTTGGACTCACCAGCCTCTCCAATAGCATGAGTCAACTTCCTGAAATAAATCTCTGACATAGGGATACAGATAGATATCCCACCAGCTTGATTTTCCCTGGAGAGTCCTCACTAAGACTTGGCATATTTAAACTTAGTAATACCATTTCTAGGTAATCAATGAATCAACATTGACTCATAATCACACAAAGTTCTCCATTGACATTATGGTTCACTTTTGCTATTGTGCATTCCACAGGTATGGACAAATATATAATATGCATCCACCATTATGGGTTCATACAGAATATTTTCACTGCCTTAAAAAATTCTATACTCCATATATTTATACCAAATCTACTTTTTTAACTTTTAATTTTCAGAAATATAAATATAGATTAGGCTTTTTTGATGAAAACTGAACATCCAAATTGAGACCAGCTTTTTCTGTAACATCAGAATTTTTTGGTATGAATGGTACTTTTGAAATTCTCTATGATGGACATATTATTTTTATAACCAGCAAAGTAATATTTGAAAATAGAAGTTCATCTTTAGCAGCAAGAAATAATGAAATATTTCCAAATGTGACTTTCTTGACATTCACAGTACAAATATTCTACTTTTCAGTAATAAGAATCTCTTGGCTATTAGTGAAATAATATTTCATTGAGCAGAACCTAAAATTTGAGGAAATCAGTCAGTCTGGATCTAGCATGTGGGAATTTGAGAACATTTGTATTTCTAATACAATAATTCAACACATTGTGTGAAAAGTCTCTTCTTGAGCCATGAGTAATTTGTTTTATCTTTCTGAATTCTGGCTCTGAGTTAAATTTTTCTTGTTCCTGAGGGATCTGACAGATTTTGAAAAAGATAAACTGTCTTTAGAAACTATTTCTAATTATCCCTAATTAGAAACTCATTTCTAATTATCCCTAATCTTGTGGA